TATGACCAAAAAGACATACATATGCATCGATTCTACCTGCTCTTTCTCGTGTGACGCTAAACATAGCTTAATGGAGCATATGAAATCGGCCCACAACTTTCCAGGGATATGCTTATCTTCCTCCTCCGCTGACTCTTCTTCATCGAATAGCTTTGATTCTCATTCCGTTAAAGTTGAAAAAGAGTAAAAACAGTATGGCAACAAATCGTGCACGGGCAACATACATGCGCCACCGAGAACTCTGAGACTTCCAAATTATAATTGGCGCTATATAAATATCAACGATAATAATAATAATGTGTATGTTTATAATGTTTATTATATCATAGTCTGTCAGCTCTCAACATCATCACAATGGCCATCATGATTTCTGTTTTCTAGATGAAGATGCGTTTTCATTAATAGTAATAATCATTGTTAATGTTATTATTGTTAATATTATTATTATCGTTGATGTTGTTGTTATTATTATAATTACTATGGTGATGATTGTTGATGGTGATAATGGTAATGTCTGATTTGCAATTGACTGTTTCATATCAATGGAGAGTTGAAATTCGTACTTTGAATTTTCTAAGTCAATTTATTATTTTGTGTGTTTGTGTGTTTGTAATGTGTGTGTGTATTATGTGTATAAATGTATGTGTATTATGTGTATAAATGTATGTGTATTATGTGTATAAATGTATGTGTATTATGTGTATAAATGTATGTGTATTATGTGTATAAATGTATGTGTACATATGTGTATAAATATATGTGTACATATGTATGTTTTCATTTTCATCATTTTATAGTAGTGCGCATCAATCAAACTGATAAAAGAATAATTTTTGTTGTTTTTCTTTCTTAAGTTTCCAAATAAGTTTGTGTGTGCGTACGTGTGTGTGCGTGTGCGTGTCCTTATGCATGTATGTGTTTGTGTTTATTTATAATTAAACAATTCCTCTACGTCAATCAACTTTATTTTTCTTTCAGCGAGGTAAATAGATCACTATTTACTTAGGGCATTTAATACTTCTATTTATATCCCTTGGGTCTCTATTATTATTATTATGGGCCTCTATTATTATTATTATTATCATTATTATTATTATTATTTTCTTTATTTCTGTTGCTGCTGTTGTTATTGGTGTTTATTATTATTATTATCGTCAGGGTCGTCATCGTCATCGTGTTTGCTGAAAATGCGTATATACGTGCCTGCGGGAGGTGCTATCCCGCTGTATCTGAGTTTATCCCCTTTTAGTTAATGATAAATTCTGCTAATAATTATTATAACGATAATTAATATTAATTTTAAATTAATATAGTAATGAAAATTTTAATCATTAATATATTTAATAAGTTTATTAAGTAAAATTTGATAATAAATGGATAAGTTTAAGACGGATGAATTGACAAGATATTTGAAGGCAGTTCAGGATATCAAGCCTACTGATTTTGAAATTCTTCAAGTAAGTAATCAATAAATTGTTGAAAACCTTGATTCATTTGTGGTAAATTATCAACCAGTTATATTCATATACCAGCCCTTGCTATCTGTTCATCAGTCAATCATATTGATTCATTAACAAAGTATATCCACCTATCCGCTAATTCATCTATCATTCTATCATCCAATCAAATCGATCTATCAGCCAATAATATGCTGAATTTTATTTTCGTTCTTTAAAATAATGTCAAATTTTCAAGGATATCATCGTTGTTTCCATTTTTAATGACATTTTGTTACTATCTCGACTCGTATAATATCTTATATTCAATTTAATTGTTACCTTCCAAAACCTATGATGTAATCATCATTAATAATATTTATTTACAATAGGCGCTGATAAAAGCAGATATAGACCCTGAAGAAATCTCAAGTGTGACTCGTTTGAGGGGGTCCAGGTCAGGAGTGATCAGGGTTCGTATGAAAACTCGCAATTCCCTCGATGTACTTGATGATCAGGTAAAAAAAAGAAAAATTTCTATTGGCGGGGTTGTGCTTGGGGCCGTTTCTGAGTGTGGATATTTTGTGAAGGTGGTACTCGAGAATGTCCCCATGTGCATCACGGACTCCGATGTAAGTTTTGTTACTTAAGTGTCGGTATTGGCAATTTATTAACTTTTCAGCCTAACATTCGCTAATGAGTATTCATTGATACTTAATTATTTGTTTAACAGGTGGAAGATGAAATGCGAAAATACGGCAGTGTGATAAAGAGCGAGAAACAATATTTAGATTATGCAGGCTGTCGGATTGCCAATGAAAAAAGAATCGTTCTATTCTCTGCGATAAATAAAGGAACATCTCTTCAAAATGCGCGCATCCCTATCTGCGGCAGTACGGTTTTTTCATCAATCATTCCGCAAGCATCGGATAGCAAACAGCTGACAACATCAGCTGTCCAACCAGCTGTCCAATCGGCTCATGTAGCCGCTAGACGCAAATCATTTGGAGCAATCCCGTTACGTGACAATAATGAACCTGATCTGGAAGATGATTGGATGGTTCGTCTGGAACGTAGGCGGAGTTTCAAAGTCAAACAAGCTGAAGGTCAGATGTCATCTGTTGCCTATAGACAGTCAACTGTCTTCAGGGATGTTGAGAAGAATATAGTAGGTGGTGGCTACGACATACTAACATCAAAAGATTTGAAAACACAGCAGCAGCAACCTCATCAGAATTCAAATCAGATGAACAAGGATGAAAAGGTTGGCAAAGTAGAAAATGAGAGCTCGAAGCAGGAAGATGATGAGGATAGAAACAAGTTGAGTTGGTTGAAGGCATTCGATAAGAGAAGGTCATCGAAGAAACTGGCATTTCAAGTCGATAAAACCACGAAAAATTTATGTTTAAACCAAGAATTGAAATCGAAAATTGAAGAAAAATTGGATGAAATAAAGAGGAAACAGAAAGCCGTAGCGACACCATCATTATCTGATCCATCGAAACTAAAAAATAATCTTAAACTACCGGACTTTAAATCGCAGAAAAAGGTAAACTGGATCAGTAAGAAGATACCGGAAATCAGATCAATTACGTCATCAAACGTTGCCAAAAAGCCAAAATCATGCAACGAGAGTTTCGTGAACTTTCTCGAAATGCGTCGCAAGCAAAAAAGAGCTGACGCTTTCGAGCAGTTAAGCGCCAATCTGATCTGATTTCATTTGGAGAGCCTTTTATATGGCGCTTTTTTCCTTTTTGGTACATGTTATTTGTCGTCATCTTAGACAAACCATGTAAATATATGACGTACGCTATTTAAATGTTGCCTAACTCATTAAAAATATTTCGTGCATACATTAAACTTAAAATTGCTGTTATATTAATATTATAAAATTTTCAAACAGACAAGTTTTGTTCGTTTGTTTGTTTGTTCGTTTGTTTGTTTGTTCGTTCGTTTGTTTGTTGCGAACTTTTTTATTTAAATTTCGAACAGTGTTAACGGATGTTGAAAGAACGAACGAAAGAATTAATAAATGAATGAATGGCTAAACTTATAAATGAATGAATGAATTAATTAACTATTTGATGTATTTTGGTTTGTAACAGCACCATTATACACACATACATACGAACACAAACAGATATATACATATAATACAATATATAGACTAATATATATGTGTGTGTGTAACTCACATACAAACATATTAACATCCGCATTAACAAAATCGATAATAATATTAACATTCTGTATATATTTTAAACAATTTATAATTTAAATGTGTGTGTGTGAGTGTATGCTTGTGTAATTTCAACGAATAACATATAAACGTCAATCAAACAATTAAATTAATTAACATCTATATATATATATATATATATATATATATATATAAATTTATTCATACGTAGTTATTATTATTATTAATTTGTATTAATAATTATTAATAATTATTTGTTGTTGTTGTTATTTGATAGCAGTATTATTATTAATTTATTTATCTATTTCCTTTAAAATTTTGGTTGTGTATGCTGTTTTTGTTGTTGACTGGAGAGGTTTTATTGCTTCTGTTGTAGATTGATTTCTTGTTCTTCCTATCATCATCGTCGTCGTCATATTTGTTGTTGCTGTTTGTTGTTGGTGGTGACTGCGACTCTTGCTTGCTTATTACGACCTGCTTGATTGATTGGTTGGTTTGGTTTTGAATAGTTGGACTTGATTGGTTGGTTATAAATAGAGTTGGTTTCGATTAGCTGGTTGTATTGTATTGTATTGTAAAGTGTTGTATTGTATTGTATTGTATTGTAATGAATTGTATTGTATTGTAATGAATTGTATTGTATGGTATTGAAGACTTATTGAGTGCCTCTACTGAAAAAATTACACAAAAATAGAACTGCAGCCACTGAAAATTTCACACAAATTAACATACACTGACGAACGAATCTCCATCATCTTTCTCGTTCACGAGTTTTTTGTGCCCTTTGGATGGGGCTGCCTGTTGGATGCCTCTGTTAAATATGATCATCTTCACCGCCGACCTGTCTAATCTGTGACCCATCTGCACTAATCTGAGTTGTTGTTTGATTGTTGTGTTGTATGGTTGTTGTTTGATTGTTGTGTAGTTGTTGTTGGATTGTCGTGTGGTTGTTGTTGGATTGTTGTATGGTTGTTGAGGAATTTAAAATTGGCCGTGGTCGTGAAATACATTTTTTAACGATTGTCATCATCGTGGCCAGCATCAACATCATAACCTACCTCTTAGCTCTGACGGAAAATACAACAGCAAACAGTAAAGAGCTGATGATGACGAAGGCGAATGTTGCGGATATCAATGCAGTCCCTATGCTGGCCCCCGATTTTTCCGGCAGTTCGTCCGTCAAACACAGCAGGCCTTTCATTCCTGGGGGACATCTGGCGAGGTGGCAAAAAAAATTTGACATTAGAATGGATTTTATTTGTTGGTTATAAATGAGTAACAGCTACAACAACACGTACGTACGTTGAATTTTCAAAGTTGATTTGAAACAACGTTCGAAAAATTGTCAACGACAACAACACCCTACAACAACAACTACAACAACAACTACAACAATTACAACAACAACTACTACAACAACATACTTGCATCTGAAACTATTCCGACTGATAGAGACACATTCAACACCAGACGGGCAGGTGGAGTTGGGACACATGGAGTTTCCAGCCTCCCAAAAACGTGCTTCATAAGTTCGATAGACTGACAGCAGGTTGACTCTTCTCGTTAGAAGGATGCTACCTAAGTGCGTTCGTGTGTGTGTGTGTGTGTGTGTGTGTGTGTGCGTGCGTGAGTGAATAGATGAATGAATGAATGAACTAATAAATGAATGAACCAATAAACTCCACTACCAACCATTCCTTCCATGTTCTCCTTGGTCAAAACCGTTGCGTATGTTGTTGCGACTAATGCAGGTCTTCAAATCTTTCGCCAATTGAAGCGCGGCCGGACAGTAACACCTAACATTCGCTGCTGCTGCTGCTGCCGCCGATGACGAAGATGAAGATGGTGACGTTGGCGATGGCGACGATGATGATGATGATGATGATGACGATGATGATGACGATGATGATGACGATGATGATGACAGTGGGGAAGACGATTGGTAAATGCTGATGCACATGTGAGAACAGCCTCCGAGATTCTGCTTGCACGAGTCTTTGAACCAGGGCACTTCTGCATCGTTGAAGTGGGTAAATAAATTTACATTAATTAACATAATTAACTGATTACTTAATGATTTGTTGATATAATCATAGCCAATCAAGTTATTGACCAAAAAATTAATATCTTTGAAATCCGTTCACCAAAAGCCAATTAAATCAAATTAAATAACAATGTATTATAATTTATTTATAACTCCAGCCATCAATTTTAATTTATTCATAGCTCCACCCAGATTCAGCCAGGCAAACGAACGAACCAGGCTGGGACTCCGGGTTGAAGGCCATTAAACTCTGCGTGTTGTGTATGGAGGTCCTAATTTGCGTGCTGATCTTCGGCATGTTCAGTTTGGAATCAACGCGGATCGTGTTGCTACTGGACGAGGAAACTACAATGTCCAAGTTAGAAATTCCCAGGCCAGATATTTTTGGCATCGTCCTGAAGTGCGAGATGATGATGATGATGATTGTTGTTGTTATCATCATCATCATCATCATCGTAATTATCATCCCATCATCATCGTGATAGTTATTAGAGTTAGTGTAGTAATAACGAGAACCAGGGCTGTCTAGGAGAGTTGAATGAAATAGTTGACGTAAAAAAATAAAAATAACTCTTCACAATAATTTTATTGGCGTGCCCCGATTGGTTGGATGAAGAACGAAGACACTCCCACCTTCATGATCTGACCAATAGAGTGACGAGTTGAAAAGCAGCTGCAATTGCAACAAAAATTATGATTACAGTATTATTATTATTTGTTAAATTTTTAAATTATTAATATTTATAACTATTAAAATAAAATGAGGGTAAATAAAACTTTCAAATTGTACCATGTTACTTGGGCAACCAATGAGATCTTCCGAGAGCTCGAGGCGCCGACAGTTCTGACCAATCAGATTGCAGGTAAATAGTTTGAAATTTTCTGAAGAACAATCGGCAATGAAAAGAAGCCTACAGTGACGGTAATGATCATAATAATAATAATAATAATAATAATAATAATAATAATAATAGCAGCAAAAATAACAATAATAATAGTAATAATAATAATAACAATAATTCACCCTCTTATAGAATCAATGGCGATTGTGTAGGGTTGGATGGATAGATGGTGCTCAAACATCGGATGCATGCCCTCATTTTCAGAAGCAACTTTGTTGTTATTATTATTATTGTTGTTGTTATTATTATTATTATTATTATTGTTGTTGTTGTTGCTGCTGTTTTTATTTTCATCCACTTTTAGTATCTCAACTTCAGTATCGCCAAGTAAGTTAATGGCTACTATTGATTTCTGTGATCGATGGATAGATGAATGAATGAATGAATGAATGAATGAATGAATGAATGAATGAATGAATGATTGAACGCATAAATAAATAGATAAATAAACATTAGAGCGAACAAAGGAACGAACAAATAATTACAAGTAAGATTAAAGAAAAATGACAAAAAAAGATTTTTTTCAATAACAAAACGGTAAATCATCATCGTCATCATCACAATCACCATCATCATCATCGTCATCATCATCATCATCGTCGTCATCATCATCATTATCATCACTGACTCCTTTGTTGACGTAGTAAACATTATTTCCCAGCCAGTCATAAGCGATGGACGATAATTGGCCTGATGTCAAACCTATTATCGTCCTGTAAATAATAATAATATTAAAAAATTAATAATAATAAAAATAATAATCACATTAACAACACTTGCCATGAAACCAAAGACACAATTAGTATCTATAAGTGACCAAATGACCAAAAACACAAAAGACACAAACTTAGAGCCAACATGTGTCAAAATGCATTGACACATAACCATAGAACATTAAGCTATTATCAAAAACATTTAACCAAAAACACTAGATTACCATCTACATGTAACCAAAGACACTAAAATAGCACGGACACTTGGCCAAAAAACACTAACTTAACATCGATGCGGTTCAATTCGACCTTCCAGATGAGAGTTAGATCCTTCTTTACATCGTAAACTGCAGCTATCAGCATTTTCTTGCTCCAACCGCCCGTAAATGCTACAATTTTTCCTGGTTATTTTATTATAATAATAATAATAATAATAATAATTATTATTATTATTATTATTATGTACATGATGAAGGCAAGAGCGTTGACCAACTTTGTTCAACTCACTTTTTCTTGTACATAACTCGATTATTTTATCGTTCAATTAGTTTTAAAACTGGTTCGTTGGTTTTGTGAAAATTACAAGAAACATGGCGATACTTTTAAACATTAAAATTTACATAGTTTTATATTTAAATTATTTATTTTTTGATTTATTTCTTCAAAGACACAAAAAGTAAACAGAAAGATATTTAAATTATCATCAAAGTAACCAGCCAACCCTTGAAATGCGATTGGAGTTGAATTTTAACGTTGTGTAGTAGCTGCCCCGTGCCACTCCTTACGTCAATCTTCGCGATACGATAGCCGTCAGTCAAAAAGTGGAACGGCCTGTCCCAGTTATCTGGCATTGGTTAGTTAGTTTTGAGAATGGGTTGTGATTGGTCGGCCGGTTTTGAAGGAATTTTGTCACTGGTTGATTGGTTTAAAAGAAGATTGTAGAACTGTTATTGGTCGGTCGGTTTTCAAAATAGTTTTGTTGGTTTGGTATTTATGAAAGGTGATGATAGATTAGGTGTGGTTATTAATTTTAATGGCGAATACTGCTAAATTATTTTGACCAACATCATTTTAAAGTTATGAGTGTACAAATGAGCGACTTAACAAGCAACTGACATCCAATTAGATGGATCTCTATCAGAAATACAAAAATTAACCATATCGATGCTCACCAAAGCATTTTTCAGGGCCGTGGAGTAACATGTCGTCTGGGCAGGCGCAAATGTATTTGTTGGCCTGCTTGAAACACAGGCTGTCGCAATTTAAAGTGTGCCGACACTCCGCAACTGTGTGTTTGTGATCGTTCATTCGTTCGTTTGTTTGTTCGTTCGTTCGTTCGTTTTTGTGGGTGTGTTTGTCACATATCAAGCCAATCGACATTTGTTTTATTTTATTCAATACTTCATCTAGCTATTAATTAATTAATTAATTAATTAATTCACTTATTTAACTATGCAATCATTTGATTGCAATTGTTCAACTATCATCTACTCAGTCCATGCATTCTACCTACCAACCAACCAACCTCCAACTTTCGGTTTCGTATCGACAACTAAAATGGACGAAATGTCACTCATCTGTGCGTACACTTCCACTGCTTTCCCGGACTGTCCTATCTTCTGAGAAACGGCGTCACCTGATTGGTCCAATTTGTGGAAAACCCTGACCCTCGAGTCTCCGCCCCCGTGACTCGTGTACGCACCAAATATGAGGTTTCCGTAAATTGCGAATGATTTGATTTCAAAACCCTTGTACGGTTCGGTCCAACGCTGATGTGGGTGTGTTTCGATGAAAAATTATTTCACGAAATAATAAGTTATAAAGTTAATTGATTTACATTAAACAAATAATAAAACAAACTATTAATCATTCAATCAGCCCACACTCCGCCAAGCAAATCACAAGTGACCAACCAAAACGGTCAACCAACCAGATCGCTCCTATCATTGATTGCCACGGAGATTAACCTATCGCCGTCCGACCAGTACAACCTCCTTATGACGTCATCGTATCTCAACATTTTTGGGCAGTGGAATGGTTTGCCGCCGATGTTGGTGACGTTTTGGTTGCTGATGAGGAGGTGTTTGTAGCGATGGATGTCCGGACTCATTGGGGCCACATTGATCGCAACCTGCTCTCCGTCACATTCGGCCCAATAAATGGCTCTGTTTTGAGGTAATGTTTGTCATTCATTTTTCAATCTATTCATCCATTCAGTCTTTTATCTCTTCATCCGTCTATTCATTCTCGATCCATCCATCCATCCATCCATTCGGTTATTCAGCCATCCAGCTATCAAACCATCGCCTCGTTCATTTCTCTTTCCATCCATCAATCCACTAATTGATTAACTTACCCGTGATGTGGATCCGTAACGAAAGCCTCAATGCCCTTGATGTGTTTCGGCGGGTAGGGGTGTGGGAGGGAATCGTGGAAAGGGTGGTGGGGCACGTAAATGCCAGGGTGTAAGTCCCTTTTCACAATGTTAATACACTCGTAACTTCGAGTGGAGCAGGCCAGTATGACATCCCGAGTTTTTTCGAGGATGAATAAATTTTCACCCAGCCAATCATACGATATGTCGGCTACTTCGTTGATTCCTGATTGGTTAGTCGTAGTTTGGAGAGGTTGTGATTGCTCGGTTGGCCGGTTGGTTCATCGATCGTGATTGGTTGATTGGTTTTTATTATGATATTAATACGTTATTTTTGTTACGATTACTATTTAAATTGTGTAAACATCAACGTCTTCTTAATAATGTATAACAAAAAACTAGATAAATAAACAATAAATAAATAACAACAACAACAACAACAATAATAGAGGCACCGTTAATGAGAACATTGGGTTTGTAATGATATTTTCCGTCACTGGCAGATGTGACGGCATCAATTGATTTAGTGGCCTCGTTAAAAAAATACGTCGTTTGGTGGAGTTCGTCGTGAGCTGTTGATTTGTGTGTGTAGATGTGTGTGTGTGTGTGTGTGTATATGAATATAAATCCTGCAACAATAGACAAACAATAAGCAACAATACCAACAAACGAATGAACCAACAAAATAACGAACCAACAAACAAACAGCAACCTACCCATAACTTTAACATTATCAATTTTTTTCAAAATCCTTCTACTATCAAACTCCATATGACTGACGCTCTTGATGTAGTCCCCGGTGGACATGATAACTATCGGCCAGTGATAGCCGCCATCTTTTTCCGGATAACTGCAATTCCGGAACGTGGGATCGACCGGATTTCCGTCTAAACAGAAGCACGTGTTGTCGTAGAATACTTGGTTGCATTGGTCTTTGAAGTTATCTGATTTTTTGGGCATTTTGTGCTAGTAGTAGTAGGAGTAGGATAAAAGGTAGTTGTAGTAGCAGCAGTAGTGGTAGTGGTGGCACAGTAGTAGTAGCAGCAGTAGTAGTAGCAGTAGTAATATTCTACAAATCGCTATAACCATGCAAATAAACAGCAAGACGAAAACTAACAAAGGCACATTCTCCCATCCTTAATATAGCCCTCTGGACACACACACTTCTCGTCTTCAGAGACGCATGCTACAGAAGTCTCAAGGGCTCCTACTAAATAGTTATAATTAATAATAATATAATATAATAATATAATATAATAATTTAATATTAATTATAACGGTTATTAATTATAAAACTGGCAAACCAGAAGCAAATAAACAGAGCAAAAACGTGCAACAAAAAAATTTTAACGACATATTACGTTACTTAATTATTATACTTATTATTATAACAAAAGCTTATAATTATTTCCTTGGCTATAATTATGAATAATAACAAGAAGAAATATATTATTATTAAAATTATTTTTTATTTGTATTATTATTTATTTGGTTATTAAGTTAATTAACAAAAATTTTAACAGAAAAACATTAATTTCTTTCACTACACTTCTGAATTCTGAACCAAAAATGAACCTTTCTTTTCGGGGATTGTAATAGACCGACCAGAGCTAT